AAATGGCCTAAAAAGTGKCCCAAATGGCCGTGTGATGCTGAACTGCGTGCTGGCATTCCAGAGCTCGCTGCCATTGCCTCCTGGCTGCTCCAGAGCAGAGAGATGGGAACAGGGAGAAAATGTTCTGTGCAAGGTGGGGAGCAGTGCCTGGGGAACAGTCAGGTAAAGAGAGGTGATAAGAACAGGATTGGAGACTSTGGGCTGGTGCTAGTGAGACACAAATCCCATGATGGATCTGTAGAAACATTTACAGATCAGGAAAGTTGGATGGATGTCAGGGGCACAGAGCCAGCAGCACAAATCCCCCGTGGTTGTGGCCCTCCCAAATTTCCTTCAGTAACGCAGACCAACACAGCGGGATTGGACTGGATGAGAGAAAATGTTCAAACAGGAAYCAACACAGGCAAGAGGTGCAGGGAGGAGATGTCTGTCTGTCTGTCCCTCCTGAGTGTGTCCAGGTAGCTCCAGCTYGAATCCAGGAGTGCTGCAAACCCAAGAGAGGGATGACTCTCAGCAYTCCCTGCTCAGGGTCTCAGAACACGTGGGGCAGGGTTTGATGCCAACTGGAGCATCATCACTTATTGAAAACCAGGACCCCTCCTGGTCCCAGGGATTCCCAAATGCAGCTCCAAGCTCTGCTCCTGGAGCTCCTGCTATTTCCTGGCAGCTCCTCTCATGCTCAGCAGCTGCTCCAGGGGTGGTTCCACATTCCCAGCCCTCCCCACCATCCCAGAGCAGGAAGGGTTAAATCCTCAGCTCTGCCATGCGCTCATGAAATTATTTCAGACCAGACATTTCTTTACTTTTGCCTGAATTTCTCCATCTGGGAAGCAGGGCAATGAATCCCATCTCCCCAAAGCACATGGGAAGAGGAATTGTCTGTGGCACACCGGGAGACYGGCCCTGCTTTATTCCATTTTGTCAGGAGAATTTGGGAATGCCTGAGAAGCCTGGGCTTCTCCRTGGCAGAGCCAAGTCTGTAAGGAGAGGAAATGTTCTTCAGGTGATGGAAAATGCCAAGGGTGTTTCTTTGAAAGCTGTGGGACTTGTCTGACMCCTCCTGAAATGGGAGCTTGAGGCTCCAGCCATGCTCCCTCTGCTCCCCATGGCCGCTGAACTCTGTGAACTCACACCAAAATCCTTCATTATTCAGCGTTTGGTCATCGGCCAGAATCATCTCTGTGGAGATGAGCTGCAGTGGGCTGAGCTCTGCTGAGCACTCCACCACCTTCTCAGCTCACTTCTGCATTCCTTCCCCTTGTTCTCCCGGCCGGTGCCTCCCTGGCACATTTCTGGGAATTGTTCCCTGTTCCTGACACAGCTCTGGGCTCTGCACTTCCTGCTGCCAGACAGCCCCAGCAGCCCCGGGTGACAAGAGCATGAGGAAACACTTTCCTTGAGCATTTTCTTGTTTGCTACCAAAGGCAGCGGCTCAATTAGCACGAGAGCACTCGAGGAGGGGCTGCTCCTTGGCACTCCGTGGTTCCAGCCTGGCACAGCCAAGGGGGTTGGGGTTTGTTTGCACACTTGGTTCTCTGGTGCTCCACGGGGTGTGTTTGCCCTCAGTGAGAGCCATTATACACAACGGGATTTCGGGCAGAAATTCCTCCCTGGGAGGGTGGTGAGGCCCTGGCACGGATTGCCAGAGAAGCTGTGGCTGCTCCATACCTGGAAGTGTCCAGGGAAGGTGCTCCACACCTGGAAGTGTCCAGGGAAGGTGCTCCACACCTGGAAGTGTCCAGGGAAGGTGCTCTATCCCTGGAAGTGTCCAGGGAAGGCTGCTCCATCCCTGGAAGTGTCCAGGGGAGGCTGCCCCATACCTGGAAGGTCAGGTTGGACAGGGTTTGGAGCAGCCTGGGCTGTGGAAGGTTTCAGTCAGGTCTGTGGAAATGTCCATCTGTCCATCCCTTGCACACACACGTGCATTGTGCACCCCTGTTCCAGTGACAGCCTGGTTTCAGTTGGTCTGCAGAGATGTCCATCTGTCCATCCCTTGCACACACACGTGCATTGTGCACCCTGTCCCAGTGACAGCCTGGTTTCAGTCGGGTCTGCAGAGATGTCCATCTGTCCATCCTTTGCACACACACATGTGCATTGTGCACCCCTGTCCCAGTGACAGCCTGGTTTCAGTTGATCTGCAGGAAGCTTTCTCCCTTGCTGGGTAGAGCTGCTCAGCTGCAGGAAGTGAAACTTTGCAAGGGGAACTGTCTGGCCCAAAACTGCTGTGGATGGGTATTTGGCTAAACTGAGACTTGGAAGGTTTCTGGTTACACCCTGAGCTGCACTGTGACCTCCTGAGTGTCCCGTGGGTGCCTTGCATTTGGTATCTTGTGATTTTCTGTACCTTCCGCATTTTTTGCAGCAGAAACTGCTGAGGCAAATCTCCACCAAAAATCCCAGAGTGGAGTGACTGAGCACCYGCCCTTCCCCTCCATGCATGGGTTGGCCCCAAAACACAGCTCTGACCTGGGTCCAGGAGGTTTGGGGTTGCTGCAGGTCACAGTTTGATGAGGGAGGAAGTTCAGATTGTCACCAGTGAGACACAGCAAGGTGATTGATCACCCAGCTCAGAGATTCTCCTGCTGCCAGCAGGATCAGTCTCTCCTATGGGAGCAGACCTTGGGAAGCACAAACAGCTGTGACCCTCTGGAGAAGGGATTTGGGTGCCATGGCTGGTTTCTGACRTGCTGTGTGCCCACATCTGAGGGCACAGGGAGTGCCAAGGGCTGGGAGTCCCCAGGGCAGGGCCAGGCAGCAGCAGCTGCAGGGAAGGAGGGTGAGGAGGGTGAGGAATGCAGCTCCTCTCCTGGATCCCAGCAGTGACACCGGGGTCAGTGTGGCACAGCAGTGACACCCTGAGCGGGGCAGTGCCAGGGCTGCAGGGCTGCAGCTCTCATGGGCAGGGAAATGTTCCCTCCTGCTCCAGGCATGGAGGATGCTGCAGATTCCTTTCCCATCCTCGTTTCCCTTCCCTCACCTGGGCACAGGTAGCAGCCGGGTGGAACCCCAGGGCAGGATTGTTTTCTGTGCCTTGAACTGATGYAAGTGGACAGCAGTGGCAGCAGCCAGCCAGGGCAGCACCTGCTGGRATTGATTCACCATAATCCTTCAATCAGGGGGGCAGGGACCCTCCTTCTGTGAGGCTCTGAGATCCCGCAGCTCCTGAGGGGAAGGAAAGAGCTGCTGGGAACTCCCAGCTGGGAATGGCTTGGCCAAGATCAACCATCCCTTTCTTGTTTCATCCTTTCTGACTGAGAACTGATCCCAGAGGTTGCTTCCTCCTGTGCACTGCCCGATGCTGGGACACACACAGCCAAATCCTGTCCTGCAGTGTCCTGTGGATATTCCTGGAGTTGAGTCCCAGCTCTGGGAGCTCTGTGAGCTCTGTGGAGAAGCCCCAGTGACCCACATGAGCAAACATCTGCAGTCAGCAGCACAGCACAGCTGGGGACTCCCAGGGGATTGGCTCTTCCTGCTGCAAATGAGTCGGGCTGAACTCAGCCCAGATTCTTGGAAAGAGGTGGATTGTAGGATGGGAGTGGGGAGAGATCAAAGGCGATTAGCAGCAATCGTGTGGGGAGGATGTGCAGCCAGACAGGCTCTGTTCCCACACACAGACACAGGGATGTGTCACAAGGAGCCAGCCCCGGGCCCTAGGGATGGTGGTGCTGGTGATTGTCCTGTGCATCCTCGGGAGCACAGGGGTGAAGGACAGAGGGAGCTGCAGTCATCGGGCAGGGCCAGATGGTCACTTTATCCCTGTCCCTGGTTTAGTCACCCTCTTTGATTAAATTATATGGAAAAATCACGGGGAATTCCTTCAGTGCTTCCCAAAAGTGTGGAGGAAATGCATGAAATGGGGTGGAGTCATTTCAGGAAATCCAAGGGCTTAGAGCTCTACACCATCTGCCTTCCCACAGCCTTCAGCAGGGATCCAGCCTGGAATGASTGGCTGGGGTCAGATTAAGCAGATGGATGTGGATTTGAGCCTGGTGCAGTGTCCRTAACAGACGTGCAAGGCTGAGCTGTCTCCCACCCCAGTTTCCCAATTCCTCATGTTTCCCATGGAAGGGTAGAGCTGCCCTGCTGTAGGAGTGGGATTGAGGATGGTGCATGAAGAGAGCGATGAAGAGGAAGGGTACAGAGAGCTTTGCCATGTCCCCTTTGCTCCAGGGGAGCCGTCCCCAAGGGACAGCAGTGCCAGGTCAGGGATCAGCACCCAGGTGCCTCCAGATCCTGCCTGTCCCCTGTCAGTGACCCTGTGCAAACCCCATCTCTGTGACACCGATCCGTCATCGTGTACCTTCATACTGCAGTGCAATGCTGGGGACAGACCAGGAGAATGGGAAATCCTGTAAAATGCTCACTCCAGGACTCTCTAAAGGCCACTGAGAGCCCTGGGAGAGCTGCCAGCCCCTGTCCTGTGGTGGGTTCTGTGCACAGACCCTGCCAGGGCTGGAGCTCACATCSTGTCCACACTCTGCCACTGGCGGAGCTTCCCCCGAGCCAGCTGCCAGCACGGGGTAAAAATAGGAAGTGCTAATCCTTATCCCTTCAGCTCTTGTTGCACTGTCTGCAGAGAATAATTGTCCCTTTGAATCAGAGATCAGAGTCCACCTTCTCCAGCACCTCCCGCCTCCACAGCAGCCCCCTCCCTGTGGCTGGATGAAATCCTGCACATTTTGAGGGTCCACAAGCAGAAATGCTCTCTCTGATCACACCTGTGTGGGCACTCAGCCTGGCTGCAGTAATTCTGGGGGTAGCAGAGGCAGGAATTAACCTGGAAAAGTGTGATTTTCTTGCTATCCTTCTGCATACGCCCTCTCATTCCAGAAGAGACAAGTCAAAACCCTCGTGTTGAGCACCCTCTCTGTCCAACATCTGCAAAGCTCTCATTTTCTTGCTGTTTTACAGGTAAAAGATGAAAAAAACATACAGGAAACRTTTGACCTAAGTGACTATGAGAAATGTGAAGAACTCAGGAAGTCCAAAAGCAGAAGCAAAAAGAACCACAGCAAATTTACCCTTGCCCACTCCAGGCAGCCTGGAAACATGGTTGGTGGGGTTTGCCTGCATGCAAAGAGCCTGGCAGGGATGTGGGTGTTCCTGGGGGTGCAGGGAAGGGAGGGATGGGATGTGGATGGTCCTGGAGTTTTGCTGTGTGGGGTGGACAGGGCTGGAGGTTTGGCTCTGCCTTTTCTGTAGAGGCTGCAGGGCTCACACTGTGAGTTCCAGCACTGACCTGAATTYCCTCTTTTGTAGGCACCAAATCTGATCTTCCTGGCTGTGAGTCCGGAAGAGAAAGAGTCCTGGATTAATGCCCTCAACTCTGCGATCACACGTGCTAAAAACCGGATCTTGGATGAGGTGAGCAGGATTTAGGCTGGGCCCTGGCTCCCCTGTCTGAACCTGGGTGAACAGYCCTGTCTTGGGGACACATCCACACAAATTGTCTGTAGAAACCTCCTCCCACTGCTCAAGGGGAGTGTGAAAGTCCCAGTTACACAAAGCACCTTCTGCAGGAAGAACAGCAGAGCAGCCCCAGTTCAGCCTCTTCCTGGGGACACAGGGTGTACTCAGAATGCCAGGTCAGGCCGAGCATTCCCAGTTTCTTCCACTGGGAAGAAGAACCTACCTGGAGCAGGCTGTGCCCTCGCTCCAGGGCTGACTCCACATTAATGTTTCATGGCAGCCCTTCCTCACTTCAGACCTGTCTCAGATCTCCCRTTCACACTCAGCTTCCCATGGCACTGCCAGGAGGTTCTTTCCTCTCCTGGATGGCAGCACAGAGCCTGGAGTGAAGGAAAACCAAGGTCAGGCTGTGGGAGAGGCTTTAGAGCAGGAAGAAGCACAGCAAACATCAGGAAGGATGACTTCCAGGGAAGTCTGTGATGTGAACCTTTGGAAGCAGGTTCAGTTGTCAGGAATTACTTGAGCAGATCTGATCCATCCCAGCACAGAGGGGAGAGGACAGGGGAACACTGGGCCTGTCTGAGGCTGGATCCCACATGCCATTCCTGCCAGTGTCCTGATGGCAGCTCCAGGAGCTGGCAATGGCTGGCAATGGCACAGTGATGTGCTGTGCTCACAGTTTGTGTCACCCTGCAGGTCACTGTGGAAGAGGACAGTTTCCTGGCCCACCCAACRCGTGACAGAGCCAAGATCCAGCACTCGCGGCGTCCTCCCACGCGGGGTCACCTCATGGCTGTGGTGAGTACAACCAACCCCAGACACTGCTCAGGTGGAGCTCCCGTGGAGCTGCTCCACTTTGGAGTAAGYGCAAGGAGAGCTGGTGTTGGAGCTCTGTCCTGAACTGAGAGCTGCCAGAAAGACACTTGTGGGTCATCAGCTCTCGTCCTCTGCTCTCGTGGACCATTGCACTGTACAAACCTCCTGCACTGTACTCCCATTGCAACTCCTGCAAAACTCCCATTGCACTGTACAAACCTCCTGCAAAATCCTCATTTGCCATCGCTGACAGCTCCTCCAGGTTCCTGCTGGGAACAGCCAGGGAGCTGCTCATGGGTGGCAGGGAGGGCTCAGCCCCAGTGCTTTGGGTGTGTGGATCTGCAGCTCGGTCCCCTCAGCCCCAGGCTGTGTCACTGTGTCACTGTGTCACTGTGTCACCACTCTGTGGGGTGTTTGCAGAGTGGACACCCTCGGAAGGTGCAGCCATTCTCGTGCCAATGCATCTCTGCTTTCTGCTCCTCCAGGCATCTACCTCAACCTCGGACGGAATGCTGACCCTCGACCTGATCCAGGAGGAGGACGCCTCTCCGGAGGAGCAGGGCACCTGTGAGCAGAGTTTCCGGGTGGATCTGGACAAGTCTGTGGCACAGCTCACGGCCGGCCGGCGCCGCTCCGACTCGGAGAACACCAAGGCATGGGAGCAGGGCCGGACAGGGAGCCTCCCCCGGCACGAGGTGACCGCCTGGGACAGAGCTGGCCAGCGCAGTGACTCCTGGGGCAAAGGGACCATGTACACACCGCAGGTCCCCAAAAAGCTCTCGCACTCAGAAAAGAATAAATGTGCCTCCATGGAAGAAATCCTGTCCCGACAGGACTCTTCCACACACCGGGCGGTGCTGAGGAAGGGGCTGGAGGCTCAGTTTGCCTCAGCAGAGCCGGAGCAGCTGTCCCGGATACAGGAACTGGTTGCACTGAAACTGGAAAAAACTCAGGAACTGCTCACAGAAGTGAAGGGCTATGGGGAGGGCAAGAGAATGACCAAGGACTCCAACACCAGCACCACCATCACCACCACCTCTTCCTCATCATCTTCCAAGTCGGACTCTGAAAGGATCCTGCAGGAATCTGAGAGGCTGCTGGGGGAGGCTTCCTCCACCTGGAGTCARGCCAAGAGGGTGCTGCAGGAGATCAAAGAGCTGAGGGACCTGTACAAACAGTTTGAGCTGCAGCAGTCAGACTCGAAGCCCAAACAGAGCTCACAGTCGCAGTTTAGGAAGAGCATGATGTGAAGGCAAGCCTTGGATGGGAGGGAGGGACTGGGGAGGGCGGCCGTATGGTTGATTTTTTTTTTAATTATTATTATTTACAGTGTTCAAAAGAGTGAAAAGGTGCCTGTTCTCACCCAAATTTGCTTCTCAAAGCTTGGATCCTTCCTTTCCTCCATCGCATCCCCTGATGAATCAACGCAGTGTTCCAATAAATCAGTTGCAGTTTATACCTCCTTTGTAAGAGCTCCCTTTGCACCCCAGCCCCAGCTCCTGTCATGTTCTGAGGACGAGAGTGAGGAGCAGTTCCAGAACTGCCCGTGCCTGCCTGGAGCAGCCCTTGGGGCAGAGCTGGATAAGCCCTGGCATTGCTGCTGTCATGTCTGGGCTGTGTCCCACACTGTATCTCCTTCACCAGAACACCTGCCCTGTTCCCTCACCATCCTCKCAGAAATAAATGACATTAAAAGGTCAAAAAAAGGTGTCCATCCTCACCACGGCCTGGAAAGCTCCGTCATCCAGAAACTCTCCTGAAGATGTGGGAAGTCCAGGCTGGCCTCCAGCATTACRCAGGCCATCGAGGCATTTGCTGGCTGTAGCTCGAGAGCTCTGTCCTGGCACAGTCTCCTGGAGATTTTGGGGCTGCCAGATGTTATTTTGGGGTGCACACAGAGCCYTCTGAAAGGGCAGCAGGGATGCAATCCGTGTCCACCCTGATCCTGTCAGGCCATTCATGCTCCACTGATCCCATTGGCCCCAAGCAATGGGAGGCAGCAGGGATGTGTCTTCCCTTCTGTGCAACCAGAGGATCAAAGCCTTAGATTCGACAACAGTTGAGGGTTTKGGGGCTTTTCCATTCTATTTTCTCTTTTTTTTCACCTTCTTTTTTTCACTGAAAGATTGGGGGTGTGTGCAGGAGCCAGACACCACAAGCCAACGGCAGTTTGGGTACGTTTGCCTCGCTCTCTCAGGTGTCACAGTCAGACAGCAGCAAGCTCTGCTTGGGCTGCCCAAGATCAGAATCAGCCCCGCTGGAACGAAAGCTGAGCCCAGAACAGAGCTCAGATCACAGGCTGGCTCAGCTTTCACACCCATGGGCAGGATGTGGCTGTCTCACAGGTTCGCTCATGTGGTAACATCCAACTGTTCCTTGTTTTTTGAAAGGAAACCTAATTCCCTAACCTACATGGCAAATAGTCCACGAAAACATTAAACCCACAAAGTTATTTCCTAATCGTAGTCGGTGTTTTTCTTTCCTGGCTGTGATGAAAAGATTTTTTTTTAATTAAAGAAAATATAAAACCAAGCCCAAAACCTTTCTCAATGAGTTTGGCTTAACCAGACTGCAGTGATACTTCCAGGGATAACTTTCAGTGCTTTTCCATATTGATTAACTGGATTGCTCCACAAAGTTTTTCGCAAGGAACCACTGAGCCTCACTTGTGACTTCCTGCATCCCAGGTAGTGCCAGCAAGGTGCTGTTTTTGTGACTTCCTCAGCAGCACCTCTCCTTAAATGTTGGGATGGTTTCCATGCTGCTGTGAGCCGAGGCTCTGGAAGAGCCACCACACGCTCCAGGAAGGGCTGAAAGGTCCCCCAGCACCAGCAGCTGTTGGGCACACCTGAGCTGC